AGTAGGCTCGCGGCCCGAGCTACCGTCGAAGTCCGTTTACCAATAGTTGTAAGCTGGTTCCAGCGGACGTGAATACGTCAAAGGTAATTCCATATCAGCGATGAGCACTGAGTGGTCGCTTGTAGCTAGGGGCTCCAGGATCCGAACGTCACGAACTTGTTGTTCGTAGCTCAGGTCGGGGTAGAGCGTGATGTTATGCGTGTCGGCAGGCATGAGTTGCAATGCACCAATTTCAAGTACCAAAGCCACTAACTTTGCTTCAACCTTACTATGTCCAGGTATCAAATGCACATCAGGCCATAGTATTCGGGGACAGTTAAAATCGCCCATAAGTATAAAGTGTGGAGGACTCATGCGGGTTCGAAGATGGGGCAACCAATTCAAACAACGACTCAGGGGGCTGTGATAGAATGCGCCAAGTAGTTCTCCGCGCCTGAGGCGGATGGAGCACCACAGTAGCTCACACAAACCATCGTCACTTTGGTAGGTAATCACAAGTCTCCCATTCAAGGAAGACCGGATGTAAAGCAAGACACCACCGCGGGCATTCGTTAGTCTATCGCATCGGAAGAACGAGTAATTGTTGAGTTCAAGTTTCTAGGTGTATAACTCTGAAGGCAGCCATGTCTCTGTGAGACACACTACGTTTGGCCGCTCAGACGAAAGGAAACAACAAAGTTCACCGCACTTGTTCATAACACTGCAAAGATTTATGAAGGCTACTCGCAGGCCGCAGCAGGAGCCGCCGGGCGTGCTTGAAGTGCGAGCAGCCTGTTTATCCTGATTCGCAGATTTTTGGAAACCACCCGAAAGTTTACCATATGAAGATTTGTTTCACCCACACCAGTACGTCTTTTCAGCTCAATGATGGCAGACTTGAGCCGCTCGCTGTTCACTGGGTCCAAGTCTGGACGAACATGGATCTTCAAAGGTTTCAGCTACTTTGCGGGACATAATCAACCTTGGACTGGTTTCGTCCACAAAAGTGATTCTGATAGGCAGATTTTGTTGATCATCTTGCATTCCAATACGTGTAATTTGCCTCACAGTTACGGAGTCCTCACCAGCGTCGAGGAATCTGTCAATTAGATGCTGTGAAAATTAGATATTGTGATCGTAGCGCACTTGGGGTGATGGATCACTGGACTCTGGCGCGTGGAAGAGCACGAGATTATAACGCCTCTGGTCGGACGAGGTTGACCTTACAGGGCGAAGTACATTACCAGCTTCAGGTGGTTTGGCTAACTGTTAATTTACAGACGTTAAACGCCCAACATCCCTTTGCCCTTTTGTTCTTTCCACTGATCTTCGGCACTCAGACTTGCACCTGCTAGGACACCAGTGCCCGTTGGACGCAACAAAGGTAAACAATTTGTCAGGTAAAACTGAGCTTGTCACAACGGTTGGACGTCGTGCCAGTGAGTGCACGGGTAAAGGAGGAAGACTGAGCTGAAACCTGAAGGCTCTTGGCGCTAAGTTGTTGGGCACAAACACAAAGAGCTGTTCGCAACGGAATGATGAAGACTACATGTTGTCTTTACTCTTCCTGGTTGTATCTTATTTCGACAATTTTCACATAAAGTTTGAACGAAATCGTGTTAGATTTCAGAAGACGACGAAAATGCTTAATTGATAATCCAACACACGAAATGTGGTATTTGACTTGGCACAAAGCACACGTGAGGACATTTGCACGGTATCCGACTATCTTGGAACGAGTATCACAGGGTGGTTGTTTCGGCATTGTGATTAGCCCGAAAACAAGATGGCTGCCAATTGCTGGGGAAAATGGCGATAGCAAGATCGCCGAAAGCGAGGGATAAAAACATAAGTATTACTGGTGGAAAAATTCAGAATCGGATATGAAATTGAATTGTACCCAAATTTCCACGAAATACTTCCTAAGCTAATACCATCTAGACTGATCAATCTACGGTTACGCTGAATGTTATTTCGCTTATATGATTGCATAAGTTTGACGATGAATCATCGAAAACAGGTGTTTACCCTCGGTCCCTTCTTAAATGGAAATTTCTAACTGTAATATAGCAAGGAGCATCCTCATTACGAACCAGCATAAGAAAAAGGAGGGTTGACCACCAAAGTCTCGACTAACTTTGCAAGCCGCGATAAATGGAAGTGGCATGTAAGCTGCTAACGCGATTCCTGATTGTTAATAAGTATAGTAAGGGGTTTGAACCTGGCGGGTTCGCGCAACTAGCGAATCCCATTAAAATGAAACGGTCCTCCAGCGCTTTCCGGGATGTGTGATGCCTGTCTAGCTGCGATGGAGCTTCCAGAAAACACAATAAATCCCCTTACTACTCACTAAGAAGCACCTTAGTTGAGTTCAAAATATGAACTAGGAGTTGTGGACCAAGTGTGGTGGATCCAAATGACTTGACTTCTGTGGTGAAAGTAATAACAATAATAATAAAGTAAAGGAATTAGCAAGACAAAAAGTCGATAGTCTGAAATAAGACAATTAGTGAAACAACGCTAGTGATTTTGCAACTGGACAGAGTATCAAATGACTGATGTGACCAGTCCAGAAGTTCTTATCCGGGAATGCAACAAACCCTAACCCGGCTTTGCGTTTTGGCTGGATTCTCCATACTGCTTTATCATACACCTGAGTGGCCACATCTGGATTACATTCGACTAGGCGTGGTGTTGGCAAATAACACACTCCCAAGGTAGCCGGTTCGTTGGCATGTGAAGCATATGATCGAGCTCCGGATGCAATCTGATTTAAACACACCACGAAACTGCAGTGTTGCGAAGCACCAGATGAGGAACTTCGGCGTTACTCATTTGGTTAATTAACCAGACATAAGCAATACTACGTAGGCATCAATGGCTGGATGCGATCAGCTTTGTAATATATTGGTGAGTAGCCGCAAAGTGTACAATTCACGTATTAAGACAGGACGCAATGCACCGTCCGAAATCCTTGAGCCTGTATCTCACTGTCACCAAAACGAAGTTTAGGGTTTGAAAAGACATTAGATCCAATGTATTGTGTACAGCGATGTGATAGCCTGAATAGATACAAACACTGAGCAGTTGCTCGCTGACAACGAGTACTGAATGTGAGTCGACCGAGTCCAGTAACAGTGGAATGTACAGGAAAGTTGGATGGCACATGCAAAAGAGCGCAGCGCTGTGCGTTTGCCAGCTCATCACCGCTTGCATAACAGTTGAGTCCAACTCTAAGAGACTTATCGTCTGCATACCCTGAGATTTACACTTGAGAATCAAGAGCTTTGGTCCCGAAACCGAATGGTGAGAAAAAGCTGTTCATGAAAAGTAATGGAGAGATAGAACGACACTGATGCTATCTATAATCACTGCGACCACGCAGAATAATTTCCAGTAAAATCTTACACTACTCATGGTATCGCGTTACACATATTTTACAACAGTTTCTTCATCTAAGCCACTGAAAGATGGGGATCGCCGCCAACAGATCTGATCAATTGAAACAGCACTATCAATCGAACTTTGATAATAAATGTGATAAATAACGGAGTCAAGCATCAGATTACGGAATCCATTCACAACAGGTTCGCGATTACGTTTGTGAACAACTTTTGAAGTCGAATAGGGGGAAAATAAATAAGACTTGCACCGGTTTGGTTGAAGCGGAAAATACTGTTCCATTAGGTGGACGGTTTAAGCACCCGTATCAAGCTGTAGTACCACCCGAGTGGAAGACGCAGAATCATCCGGACATTGGCCGATACAGAGGACATGTGAGAGAAGTCGAGCCCTGTTCCAACTGATTGAAAATGCAATACGAAAGAAAATTCGTGGAACCGAGACCAGAGCACTGAATGTCAATCGCTTTTGACTGGGCCTTATATTTATAAATACAAAACTTCCATCCAAGATTAACAATGACCATTGTCTGGGCTGAATCGTGTTGGGGAGCATTTACTAGTCACTCAGAGATTCAAGTGCATGATCAGCTATATCAACGCATGTGAAAAGTTGAGGTCACAAATGGCATTACAAACGCTCGAGGATCTTCTCCAAATCCGATGACGCCGGCGCGACGTTACTTTGGCTTACAACGGTATAATTCACAATGCTAGTCCCCGTTCAACCCTCCTGCACAGATGTGATACCTGGCCCATTCGATTGACAGACGCGTCCAACCACCGGTTCTTTTTGTGTCTAGCCTATATCTGGTGGAAACACCTTGTAAACAATCAGCGTGTTCATCGCCTTGTTTATGGCGCAGGAAGAACGAGTGAACCACACAGTACTATTATTTTATATCCCAGGCTCGGATGGCTGTGCCACGTGTTACGCATACCAGAGCACCGAGTCTTGCAAATTGCGTTATTTGTGCGACTGGAATGTGAATGAAAAAAGAGGACGGGCGGCAGGCCGATGGCTAAGAGGATGAAGGCTTTTACTTCGGAATCAGCCACGGTTGGTGCCTCTGACTCAATGGTTGGGGGCCACAAGACGAAAAACACGTCCGGCTGTTGGCTTTGTCAAGTCGATCACAGTGACGTCGCTTTATCTTTCCCTCCTGCTTAGCCCCAAACCCCGGATCTCATTCTTGATGCACATGTTAAAAAAGTACATCGTAATAACTCCATATACTGGGAGCTGGGGTTGGAGCTATTTTCACCGAGCTTGGAAATCTGCTTGCAGACGTTCCGTCAAGAATCGAAGTGACATCTTCAGTGCGTAGGCGGTAATACCAAGCAAGGTGCTTCAGGCAAGTCCGGAGTTCAAAGCGGTACGATATAACAATGTGATCTGTCTTCAAATTAGGTGGATAACCTGCAGAGCGCAACTGCTAATTATATTCACGGCAATGTAAAGTTGTCAGTACTCGCTAGGGTGCACAAAAGTCATGCCTAATGAGCAGGGATGGAATAGGCGGGTACCCACAAGATGATAGAAAAAACTGATGGAGCCAGAAGAAAACATCAAGTTGCGAAGCAATGCAAGGCTCGGGTATTCAACGGGTAACAAGGGTGTCAAAAAAAGAAACTCACCGAAAATGGTTTTTGCAGTTGTGGTGGACGAAAATGTATGAGGGAGATAACAGCGGTTCCCAAGAGAAAAACAAGCAGAGATCCGGCGTAAATGTAACGAAACCGCACGAAGTGGACAAGAGCCCTTAAAAAGAAAATGGAAACAGTATAAGCGCAGAAATGTCGAACAAAACAAAAAGTGCGCATTTGAGAGGACTTAAACAGCAGATTGTATGGAAAAATATAAATATAATGATGGTTATTCAGGGGACATTTGTTACAAGCATCCTGAAAACCCCGAAAAGGAGATGGTCCCACAGCAAGCGATGGTAATAGCCGCAAGAAAAAACGTATGTCCGTTTAATGCCAGAATGCAGAAGGTAACAAATTTGTGGTGTACGAAATGGAACGACAAAGCGACTAATGATTCCTGGCTGGCAAAACGACCAAATATCAAACAAAAGAAATATAGCTCAATGGCATGCGACTGTAAAGGACCTGCTAGTTAGGAACAATGAGAGGGGGAAAGCGGAAATTAATGTAAAAGGCAAATACTCTACGGTAACGCATCGCTAGCGCCGGATCACCAAGCTCTACAGTGAGTTTTCAGGGGTACGGTGTCTATACTTGTTAGAAACACAAAACGGTCGAGTGCAAGACATCTTCCATGTGGCTTTAATTGCTCCGCTCTATAAGTAACTTCGCTCAGCAGACAACTCAGCATCCGGATAATTTAAGTAGATAGTCCGACCAAGAGGTGATAACAAACAATTGTCCTGGTCGCGAAATGTGGCCTGTAACCTCGGATCTAACACAGGGCGGATAGCGTGGACCTTAGTACAGAAGATGAGACCGACCAACAATACCCGGTTTGGCACCATTCGCTCATTTTCCGGTACAATATTCAGGATTGCCTCCCTACAATCATGAACAATTCTAAACCAGGTAAAAAGGTAATGCTTCTTTTTGCAGACAATCAGCGAGTACACGGATAGCACGTGACCAAGTCAACACACATTATTCCGTTTTAATTGCGAATCTGAGAAATAGACCGGATCATCGCCACCGTGTAGAAGCACCCCATCATATCGAACACACAAGTACCACCGGACACCAGTAATATTAACAGAATCATAAGGAATAAGTTATAATTTACGACTTTGGAATTTATTGCACGGAGAGTTACATCGAGACATAGGAAAATTTCATGCGCATACATAGGTGGTACAATAAAAATAAAGGTAACATTTTCCGTGACGAAAACAGGAAAAGTGAAGGAACAGATTATTTTTTGCCCAAGCGAAAAGTAGAAGCATGCAATGGGACTTGAAGATTGAGCCGAGACGCGACATGAAGAGATCAAATAAATCTACGGAGACAAATAGAAAATAGCCATCAAAAACATGAATGCATTTCAGAGTCAAGGAGCGATGGAGGAGAACAATATTTTGTGATAACGTAGATCGTCAAGAGTAAACAAAATCTCCTTCTGCTGTCAAAGGTTTCAGAGATAGAGATAGTGCTGGCCCCTAAAACACATGAACTAACTGTCAGAAATAGACCATACCTAGCGCTGCTAACAAGGTAGTTAAACTATCTTCCGTTTCATATTGTCAGTGGCTGGAAGGTGGTCTTCATAGAGGACTACTAAATGATGAGAGCAATCTAGAAGGCAAGGCAGAAACATCGCGATTGTCTGATAGCAAGATATTGTCTGCGCAATCCATAGCAGCAGCTTCGCCCTAGATAGGCTATCGATATCTGCATCGGGAGGCATCACAAGAGAACCCTCATTGACGGAGTTGATGAAAAAATGACCAGAAACGAAGAAATAATAGAACCCTGAAGAACGCCACTTATCAACGAAGTATCCGGTAATTCAGCTTGGATCGTGGCGCGAGGTGAGATGGTCAAGTATCTAGTACGCAAAATGTTAGCATGCTTCATGGAAACACATCTCCGACTAGACTTTGGTAGACAGAGTTGAGTATGCCGCACAGAGGAATGTGGTGTGGGTACGGCAAATTTAAGCAGCAAATCTAATGCAGAGGAGTTCTGAGTGATTGCAAAGTTTCAGGTTGGTCAGCACGTAACAGCTAAATCAACTTCTCGATTGTGACCACGCTGCTCCGTTGCGCACTGGATAGGAGGCAAGTCCCCATACTGGCATCATTGGAGGACTGCAGACAAGAAATGAAAATCAGGCGCTTGAATTCATAGGAGAGAACCGAGCCGGAAACATCCACATTAAGGAGGAACGAGCGTAGCGCAAGTGATGAAGTAATCCATGATACGTGTGGTCGTTAATGTAAGTCGGGGATTGAAAAGTGAGGATTTCTCGTAAAATAAATATGCGTTCGAACCGTCGAGACAAAAGTAACGTTACGTGGTTACCTGAAATTGGAATATAAGTTATCCGATTTCTAGTCGTTAATCCGACTGGTACGGGGCCCTGAACATATCGGAAGGGACAAACCAGTGTAACGGAGGCATGCAAGTCATTGCACTATGGTAAGGCCCAGTCTCGATGTGAAACCGACATGTCGATTGCACTGTATCACAGCTTCAAACAATTGCTGCGGTCGAGCTACAGACCCTTATCCATAAATATAGTACAAGTTGGCAAGGCCCAGTCCGTAAGCTACTTCATCCTCCGGTTAACATTGACGTGTCGTCTTGGGGACTCACAAAGCTGAACGCAATCACGGCAAGAAATACATGCGGAAACAAAGGGTAAGCATGTAAACAGTTCAATGACAGTAAAGTAGGAAATGGAGAGCGACAGAGAGTGGAGCGGTGCTACGGGGTCGATTGTCGGACATATAAACCGGTAGAAGTCAGTCTGTTTTGCATCAATATAACTCTATCGATAATCACCGAACAGTTAGTGGGATGTCACTGCATTTAATGGTGAGAAGGGCAACAAAGACAAAAGGCTACCAGTGTATGATGCATCATATGAAGTTGTAGGTGGTGAGACCAAAGTCAATTGGCCACCACCATCTGTCAGTGATGGTAGAGAAAGGTATCAGGACCAAGTACCATGGTCCGCCTAAGTGGGATCAATTCGTGTAGGACCGAATTCATCCCAGCAGTGGCAGCATTAGTCTTCAAAAAAGAATTCGTGTAACGAAGGGCAGTGAGAAAAGTGGAATTGCCGGTATGTTACAAGGTGTTCAGCCAAAAGTTGAAAGTCCGAGAGGACTGATTCTTAGGTGTTCCCAGGCTGGGTTTCACTAGCTGTCTTTGGATTTACACAGTAATTTAGACTGTTCTCAAGAACGTTAGCCATCCCATAGTCTTACTGTGCGTCAAACTTTTGATCCGTCGCCGACGGGGGAAATTGCAACAAAGCAGTACTTAAGAGAAATACATCAGCCACATCACTAGAAGCAAACTAATCAAGATGCCGCCGATAAAACCGATCACCATCGTCAAGCTAAAGAGCATCAGCACCGAAACGTCTATCTGTGCGATTTCAAACTTCTATAATAGGTCCACTAGAGCAGTGGTGTAAAACTTGGGACCACCGAGGACCGCATGGGCAAATATTTGTTGTCATAAATGGTTGGCGGCATCCGGTTTCGGATTTGCCTATCACTGTGACCAGCCACAGGACGCCTGCGCCTACAGAGGGATCATAGATGGCTTGCGCTGCACCACACACAGCTCCATCCACACACCCCATATCCAGTGTAAACCCGAAGGAATAAGACCGGGAGGCATGCGGATTGGAGCCACTTTTCATCAACGGAGCCGGCCCACACTCCTTCACGGACAAACACAATCACGCTGTATTTGGGGAATCAAGTGCACACAAGGCGGTGGCTGGACCGTAGTTCGCTCCACACTGTGTACGGAACCACTCTTCGAGCCTAGCACGACCACAAGGACTGTGCACCAAGTTCCCTCCCGCCACGACCAACTGTCACCTGGAGCCAGTATGGACGAGGTAGTGGGTAATAGACAGGTAGGCACCTTGTCAACATGCACATCAAGCGCAGCCACACCGGGGATGTCAAACAACAGCCAATCATTTAAAATGACGATACCAAATAAAATATATCGAATAAAGTAAACGTATATGATGACATAAATACTCGCTAAATGATCATATAGAAGAAATTGGTTATAAGCGAATCCGCGATAAGTACAAAATGTCCGAAAGTTATTTAAAAATACCACGTGATAAAGTTGCGCAAGTTTACCACAATTAGCATGAGCGACGTGTGCAAGTTAGAAGATGATTAGGTACGCAGAACAAACCAAATAAAGTGGAATGAATTTTGTCCACCTTAAAAGGATCTAGTTTAAGTGTAATTGGTTTAGTCCAATTGCGGTGAAGAAACATCATGGATGCAACAACAGTCTCAGCATGGGGCACACATACATACATGGTTGGCAGCATCCAGTTTCGGATTTGCCTGTCACTGTGGCCAGCCACAGGACGCCTGCGCCTACAGAGGGACCATAGATGGCTTGCGCTGCACCAAGTTAACTATACTTGCAATAATGTACATTGCTCGGAGGTTGACAAGTGTACCGAAGAATATTCGGGAACAATGTTCCATAGGCTGAAAATTCCCCTTCACGGGTGTATAAAGTTTATGTTGACTTGACTTGAGCAAGCCTATGGTACCTGCCTGACGGTTTGACTGCCAGACACCAACTAGGTTATACTGTGTGCGATAACACCCGTGAATCGTTCAAGATTATTAATAGTTAATATACTCCAACAGTGCTCCGGTATGTTGAGGCCTCCGACATCCAGTGGTTGAAAGGAAATCTCTGTAAACAAATTGATCCCGTGGTCAGCCTAGGATTGACTTGGTTAAGCGGGGTATAGGTCATTTTAGACGATGGTCATAAATGTCGAAGATTACGATTGGTTACCTCTAGCGATCGCCCATCACGGGTAGTCATTTAAATCTATCTCAGCAAGTTAGCAAGGGGTAAGTTGAATACATAAGTATGCGCGGTTGGTAAGTATGCTGCTTCCGATTCTAATTATTAACCCAAGTCAGTAACGCGATCTATGTGACAAATGTGCTCCATCATCATCGTGTGCCTTTCCCATGCAGACCACTGAGAGAGACAAATCCGGACACGGTTTCGGCTACTCTAGTCCATGGTAGCATGATCAGCCTATTATTCTACATTTTTGATACTAATGGCATTTTTCAAGCAATAAAATTCGGCATACCACATGTTTTGCAGACGACGTGGAAACCACCCATTTATTCAACGTATGTGAATCATATAACACCAAGGAAGTTATTAACCCCAACTATATATCCGTACATATATATATATATATAGTAACCATAACAATATTTTAATTACGCTATCTTCGTGGTATATCATTTGCGTACACATGATTTAGCGGCTAGACACATCCATTAATGCAAGGTAATTAAACAGTTTAACAAAAGAATTGAAAATTTAATTTTTAGCAGTAGCATGGACTTACATGTGCCAACAACATATGCATTACACAACACTACAACAGTTCAAAATGAACATTTGTGTTGTTTTGTTGAGGCTTGACACCTCTTTTTAACGATAATTGTTGCCATACTCAGCTGGAATGTTCGTGCAGTTCAGACTGTGATCGGAGATGACGAGTGTTTATCTAAACTAGTAGCACTACGTAATAGTGCGTTCAGTTCGTGATAGAATGTGTCATTGACAGCGTTAGAACTGCAGTCGGTGGGAGCATAAGCGGAAATCACAAACAAACAGTGGTTTGTACTACTTCGTGAATCAACCTTAGTTGATATCGTCAAACGGGGTGCAGACAAACGGCTGTTCACCGGAATCCAATCAACCAAGGAGTTTAGAATGATACCTACACCAGCTTGACCCATCCTTAGATTTAGCTCGGAAACAATCTTACTCATTTTCGCCATCGGTTCCAATCGTACCTTGTAACGCCATAGCTGATGAATCCGGTGATAATGAAAAATCGGATATCAGTGCGCCGTTGCACGCCACGTTGGCTACCTCACGAACAAAGTCGTCAGATAAATGCTATTTTCGTCGGCGAGCGTCATCATCGACATAGGTGTCTCGCTAGAGACTAAACCTGCAAATCGTGTAGAAAAAGGATATTTTCAGAAGATTTGTCGTTTCCTTGCATCTATAAAACATGTTGCTTCTGCCTAACCGCGCAGCTGCTTCTGCATGTATTTCGAAGGCTATCACAAATGTCATTGTCAATGGAATTAAGTTGAAGACACTGAGAGATACAGATAGCTATGAGAGCCTTGTTTGTGAAGCCCTTAGGCAAAGCTGGAATCACACTGTGAAATTGTTCTGGCTTCCACAAAACTGAGTAATCATACCAAATGGCATCGTTTTGCATCTCTCTCATACACAAATGAGTATTCTACCCACAAGTGAAGTTTTCAATACTGCCGAATCTGTGCGGTGGTACTGTATTAGGATATTGTTGCTTACAGTTACATACAAGCATATACTATTTCACGGTAATCGACCTCCGTTCTCTTTATGTGGCCATTCAGCTGCTCTGTTCGCTCTTCTATCTCCCTTAGGCACAAAGTCACGGAGACATAATCTTACGGACGAGAATTTCATTCAAATTGATATCGATAGGCACAGCCGAGTTTTTGAAATCACCTTAGCATGCACATGTTTTTGTCATCACAAACTAGCGCCAAAAGGAGCGAATGGTTAACGATTATAATCAAACCACAAAGAGTTTCACGAAAGTGGATGCTTATCCTATACGGCGTATAAATTACTTAATCGAGATCTAGAGAGTATCATCTAATCCCTATGAAGACGAGAAAAAGTATGCAGTATTTGAAGCATGCAATAACTTATATTAGTTCTGTCGTATACTTTTTTGGGTAACTAACGGTGTTGCATGCTATCAAAGACCTAGGGATGACCTGATTCGCCAAGAAAATCAAAAGGGAACATTTGTCTATGTCGATAATACTACTGTGTGTGGTAAAGATACTACAGAATATGACAAAAACCTTCAAAGCTTCTTATATGTCGTTGAAAAGGATGGAATGACCCTAAACCGTAAAAAATACATACCTGTGGCCAAGGAAATCAGCGTGCTTGGTTAAGAGATTTCGTTGGGCCCAGCGAAACTGGACCCTAATCGCTTAAGGCCTCTAATAATGCCACCTACGCTAATCGCGCTCAAATAATCACAAGGAAAGGTAGTGAGGATGTTTGCCTACTACTCCGTGGTTCGCACACTTTTCGGATACGAGCAATCCATTCGTTCATAATAAGACTTTTCCACTGCCAACTAATGCTCTAGACGCGTACAAAGCAGTAAAGGTAGCCATGATCGTTGTTGACAGAAACGTACCATTAGTGACTGAGACTGCCGTATCTGATGTCTCTATTTCTGCAATACTAAACCTGAACGGTCGATCGGTCGCATTTTTCTCACGAACATTGATCGCTAGTGGGCGAAACCGCCCTGCCGTGAAGAAGCCTATGCTATCGTGGAAACTATGAGAAAATGGCGCGCTATCTGATCGGAATCTATTTTAAACGGATAGCTGACCAGCGCTCAAATGCTTTCAAGATGGCATATCGAGTTCTCATTACTCTTAAGATGTGGCATATCGACCTGGTAAGCAAAATTCCGAAGCCGACGAACTATTGAGGGAAGATTGTGCAACCACCCATTCACTGAATGATCTGAAGCGTATCCACGAAACTCTGTGCCATCCTGGCGTTGCTCGACTTTTCCACTTTGTGGGAGCGAAGAATTTGCCATATTCCTTGGGAAATGTGAAAGCAATAATCCAGCAGTGCTCTATATGCTTCCAACGTAGGCCGAAATTCTACATACCGGTCAATAATCCGTTAATCAGGGCAACTCAACCTGTCGAAAGACTAAGTATAGACCTTCGGCCTCGCGTAACCGCTACATACTCACAGTTATCGATGAGTATTCCTGACTCCTGTTTGCATATGACTGCCAAGACATGACGGTGTCCCCTATCATACACAAGCTTATTGAAATGTTTCCTAGCTTTGGAATGACATCGTAAGTACACTCTGACGGGTTCTTCATTCATGTCAGAAGATCTTAAACACTTTTCGCAAGAGCGTGGTGTAGTGACCAGCAGAACCACTAACTTAAATCCCCAATGCAACGAGCAAGTGGAGTGACTCAAGACTACATTATAAAAAGCCATCCCGCCTTACCTACGATCACCAAGTCTGGTAGTTGAACAGTGGGAGTGCATGCTACCAGAAGCGCTGAATTCTATCCGTTCATTGCTATGCACTGCCACTAACGTTACACCCAACGAGCATATGTTCCTGTCTACTAGAAAGTCACCAGTCGGGATTGTTCTACGACATTGGTTACTATCGCTTGGACCTGTCCTCCTCCGCACACATGCGGGTTTCTACAATTACGACACTATTGTCGAGGAAGTTGATCTGCCAGAATATGCTCATGTTCGGCTGTTGGATGATCGCGAGCAGACAGCTTCTTTGCGTCATTTTGTACCTAGGCGATACGAAAGCGATCACCGCGAGGCAATGAAACAACTCAACAGGTTCATCGGTCCCCTCTCAAACCCACTCGTTCGCACACGAATCAACTTGCGTTAGACACGATTATTCCCTTACTTCCTCTGGGATCCGTGCTAAAGCTGATAATACGCTGACCCAAAACAAATGGCAAGACCATATCGTTTACGCAGTCGGGAAGCGCAAGAGGTATCATTGCTAGTTTTACTCGTCTTCTATCGGCGGGGGAGCATGCCATGAAAGTACATTGTTATGTTGTTACTGCTTCTATTGCTACTGTAAACCTACCGTTTGTTCTATCGTAGAGTGCGTACCGAAGTCTCTAGATGAATAAAGCATAACTCTCAAGTATACAGGTTCTCAGTGGACATAGGTTCAATCTGTCTGATGGATTCTATTCAATATGATAAGGTGAGATCATCGAAGAACGGGAGTTATTAAGTAAGACCCGGAACTTCCGGATGTGAAGAAATACAAGTATAAGATATGCAGTGTATCAGAAACGTAAGACAGTAGCAGTAAAGAAATTAGGAGTTATAGAAATGTACAAAGCTTACTTATGAGTAGCATGTGATGACCCATGAGTGGGCCTCGAGTGACTATTAAAGGCGGTTGGAGTGGGGCCCCGTTCCGAGTTTCGATAGCATAATCGACAGCGCATCAGCAAAGTTCGGCGTGGTTCACTGATCGGTACATATGTGGAGAGCAACGATCTGCGTATAAATTCTACAAGTTAGAATAACAACAGGACAAATCATGAAAAGAGAATGGTACTGTGATAGTGCGATATTGACGAAATGCGAGAGAGCTAATAGAATGAACAAAAGAGCGTCAAGAACTGCACTGTAATGATCCAGTTGACATAATTGTTGGACAGCTGGGTAACCTGAAATGTCTTAGGTGAATGCGAACTCGAAGGGATCATGACAGCGTTCTCTAGGAAATCTAAAGAATAAGTACGCAAAGTCATGAAGAGCAAAGCAGATATGAATATATATATATATATATATATATATATATATATATATATATATAATCACGACCTGATAGCAATGTGCCATCAGAACCATGGCAAAAGAGGGAAAAAGAAGTACCATAGCAAAGGAAAACGAGCTTTTGGATTTTACACATGACAGTTTTTGCTTTGAGATTTTATGTCTTATAGTAGTCATTAACAGATGATGCGGCTGAACAACATTGTCGTCACTGATGTCGAATATGCGCTATAACATCCGGCGTTTCTAACCACGAGGTGTCCGATTCTAGTGGTCCCCATCCTGGAAAGCGGACCGATCCGACAGATCCTAAACTTGAGGTTGTCTTCTTCTTGCTCTTTCTCCACGTCAATGGCTGCGCACCGCGGCAGTTTTTCCAATCGCTTCCGGGGAGCACAAGTAAAATTCGACGGTGAAGGCGATAGGCTGGCATGCGCAATACGTGGCAGAGCCAATGCAGGCGGTGTCGGAGAATAACGTTCTGGAGGCATTGGCTGTTTGCTTAAAGCACTCGGTCTCAGATTTCTGTGTCGACTACGTGATGTTGCCATCACACGCGAATAATACAACGCAGATGAAGACTGTCAAAGAGTGATAATCGCTTCATGTCTCCCGAGAGAATGGGTCAGGCATCACAGCCGTACAAGAGGACCGCAAGGGCAGAAACGATGTACATCCTGTCCTTCAACTCGGGACTGACATCGCGGCGACGCCATAGGTGTCTCAATCTAGTCAATGCAAGGCGGGCCTTTACGATCCGTTGTGACCTCATCTCCAACACCGCAGCCAGCCGTGATGCAGGGGACTTGTTCCAGGAGGTCACCAGCAAGGGTGAGGGCAAAAGAGGCAAGCGGCAATCCTGAAGTAGTGGCAATAGACATAGAGCCATCGAAAACCATGGAAAGAACGTGCATAATAAGTACAAAGAACACAAAGTTGAAAACGAAGAAAAGTTTTTCACACGCCGTTTTGTCAGCTGATCGTTAGAATCAGTGCGTAGACTCATGTAAACCTTCCATTGCTCCCAATCACGCGCCATGTCCAAAAGTCTCCAACTAGCGATGTTCTCCGTCTTTGACTCCGTAGCCCAGACGTACGGGGGTGACAAGGGACAGCCTGGAAGTCAGCGTCTGCAGGTTTTGTCGCCATGTGGTAGGTTGATCACCGTACGATTTCTTCTAGTGCGGCTCAGTGCGAGCGAATAAAACACGCCGTGATAAACGCTCGCACGGTATACGTAGGACGTGACCAAGGCACATCAATTGACATAGTGGTATTGGATTGTCGAGAGGGAGACCCGCATTATCTAGGACGCGACGTCGAAAATCATCGCTGCAAACGCGTTTCCACTGCACAAGAGCTATCCTCTGCAGACAACCACTATCAAAGACCAAAATTCTACGCAAGTCATTTACACGGATCAGCCAGGACTCACTTCCGTACAACAGTACCGCATTGCAGACTCTGTCCTTTAGCGAGAGTGGAACGTTCCGATGACGCCACAGATGTCTCGAATTAGCGAAAGCCGATAGGGCTTTGGCAATATGGAGAAATCTCTATTCCAATTGTGCCATTAATAGACACGTAGCTCTTTGGGTAAATGAAGTTTCCGACTTGTTCAAGATGCAGGCCTTCAAGTATCAGCATTGGGATAGGTGGATGAAAATCCAGGAGTAGGACTTTGCATTTCGGTAGCTTCAATCACCAGACGCTTTAGACTGACCTGCATAACCTGTGGGTCGTCATCGAGCAAGGTGATTTCATTAACATAGTCCAAGTCAGTCGCGCGGTTGCCTAGCTCTACACCAAAACTCTGAAGATCTTCCAAAACATTTAATAAGAAACCCTCAATCGCCAAGTTGAATAAAAACGGGGACATGGGGCATCCCTGTCGCACACTGCTAGTGACAGTGAAAGATGAAGTGTGTCGGAAACCCTTACTTTGCCAGAGACATTGTTGTATAAAGCTCGAAGAATGGCGGTATACTTTTCGGGTACCCCATTCCTTTGCAGACAAAGCCATAAAGCAGGCTGATCGACCGAGTCGAACACTGTTTGGAGTCCAAAAAGCAACAATAGTAGGCTGACAGTAAGAAGGACGCTGCTCGAGGGGTTGGCGGAGCGTAAACATGTGGTCCACATACCCTCGATCGGAGAGGAAACCATCCTGTTCCTCACGGCAGTGAAATCCTCGAATCGGTGTTAGCCTGCGAACTAGAATGGATGTTAAAAAGTGAGGCGACGAATATCAAACTAATTCCTCTGTCGTTGGCGTATAAGGTGCAGGTGCCCTTTTCGAAGTCCGATATAATGATATACTCGCTTCAAGAGGATAGGATCTTTCCTTTGAAACAAACCTTGGAGAACAGAGCTGTTAATTGGTTGACAGTTGCTTCTCTAGCATACTTGAACAGTCTCGGAGAAGGTCAGTTTGAGTTAGCAGCGTTGAATCATTTCAAGTGACGGAGATCGGCGGGTGGTTCCAGTGAAAAGTTCCAAGGCGCGCAATTAGGCATACGTGTTAAAAAACCAGAAGGAGGAAACTGAATTGAGAGTGGAAGTGCTCGGCCTAGCAGTTCATGACCCTACGCAAATTTGTGAATGGCGATCTAGCAACCTCGCAAACAGCTCCACTGACGCCAGGTTTTCTGCGGCCAGTGGGTCCGAATAATCTGGAAAAACTTGCGAAAATTTACAGTGAGAGCTATTGGCTTTATCTGTAAAGCGCGCTGAGACCACCAAGTTTTGCTATCGTTACGCAAGCTCTGAGATTCCGGCGGACTTCACTGCTGCTTGAATCAGCTGGGATAGCTCTGCGATGGTCAAACAATTCCAAAGGGAGAGCAGAGATCCAGATTCTCAGAGGACGCCCAGTGACTCAACAGTATGACTGACCGGAAGCAACGCCTGTATAAAACTCCAGTGATGTTTGACACCTGTAATTGGAGCGCTAGCGAATGCATCAGAATAGGATGATTTATAGGTTAGTTGAATAGAGGGCTTTGCTAGCCTGTTGGTATCCAGCGTACGGTGCTTAGGTTTCGAGGAACCACCAAAGCAAATGCAGATGTTCACACAGACCAGAGCGTGATGTGGGTAGAAGTAGGTTGATCAAATTGATCTGCAAAACCGTACACTGCCCCGCCATGTGGAGCTGATTGCAAGGTGATCAATTTGTGACCACGCCTGTGTTGGCGAAAGGGGACGCGAAGTAGCGGCGCGTTTCCTCGAATGTCTGAAGAGCCGGTTGTCCTCACACAAGGTGATAAGCCTATCTCCGTTATCAGAGCGACTCTCATCAACAGCATGACGGCCACCAGGATGATGTTCGCATGGCACCAGGCGACCGACCTGTGCAATGAAGGACGACAACATCGGATCTTTCGGCTTTACTCAAAAGTTAGTAAGGTCCGCGATAAGTCTCCCTTAACCGATGCACAACTGCAGTCGGTTGGAGCGTAGGCTGAAGCGACAAACCAAATGCATCCCTCTATTGAGCCTGCATGAGCCTTGGCGTCGAATAGCACACAATCGGCTGTCAAGCGGAAACCAATCGAGCAGCTAGGTTTCAGTTTTGTCACTCAATGTGATGCCAACGCCAACCAAGCCAGCTGCAGCAGCTTATGTGTCGCAAGACGAATGCAGGAAATATTTGGTTCCGTGATCAACAACGAATGTCAACTTAACTACGGTGCTGGAGTCTTGTAACCGAGTCTCAGAAAGGCAACAGACATCAGTAACCAGAGACTCCAGGGTACGCGCTAGGCTGGCCTGTTGTCCGATTTGCGTAAGGGTTCTAATGTTGAAGATTGCCAGCTGAAATGGAGGTCGAAGTCGAAGCAGAGCCACTGGTCAGACTCCTTGGACAGGGACAAGACTGCCAACAAAGGGAGATACAAAGGAACCTGCGTTAGCAAGTACATATGCAGAACTGAGAGACGGCTATCAGCGAGAAATACAGAGCGATTCCCGCGAAACATATCGATAATGGTCCCAAGCTCTACTGCCCGCCACACACATCACTGCTCTGAAAACCAAAACCCGTGGCAGTTTCAGGGAACTTAGCAAACACATACCTCATCACCCACTTCAGTTTGCCGAGACGTCGGCAATTCGGTGGTTGAAACGAACATTGCGCAAACAAACGGATTCCGTGACCACTGTCGACCTCCCCTGGTGAGGCTAGTAATTACGTTTTCCTATGAACGGGTCACATGAGCCTAATGGCC